GTAGAGAAAAGGCACCAGAGCTTCTAATATTATGTTTTTGTTACGAATTGAAACACCTGATTGGCATACAGTGAAGTTATGATAATCACTTTGAATTTTCCTGAATTATCTTTTACTCATTAGCTTAGGTTCTGAGGATATTGATAGTTTCTTGCACCTGTAACTATTATCATGTGTCTGTTTTTGAATGTCCTGCTAAAATATCTTGACCTTATACCACACATTTTCAGACAGCAATCACAAAAATGTTTCTCATTCCATTTTCAATGTTCAGACTAGTACCTATCACCTTCATTCTAACAATATCATTAGCGCTTACCATTATGACCCTCCAATTTTTTATTACCCCCCTCCCCTCTGATGATATTGTTTTGCGTGTGCAGTTGTGGATATAGCTTTTATGGCTCCACTGATTCAAGCTACTCTTCCTTCTCCAGCTCCCATTGTCCCTGCAGTGGTGCTAAATCCGGCTGCAAATTTTCTGCAAAGCTTTGATTTTCATGCAAGTCACGTGCCGGTATGTGTAGAGACTAATAAGAGTCTAAAAATGGCAAATGTGTTTGTGATGTACATAACATTTACACACTTTCTTTTCTAAAACACAGGTTGAACCTGTGCCAATGATCTATCCTCAAAGACCTGGAGAAATTGTTTGTGATGTATGTAATATAGCCATCTCCTTAGATGTCCAATTCATTTTTTTATGTGCACGATTTATTGTGCTTATTTTAGAGCTTTTGGCCCTTTTTCGCATTTTTGTGTACTGCAGTTTTACATGAAGACAGGATCTTGCAAGTATTCTCAGAAATGCAAGTTTCACCATCCTATTGACCGGTCTGCACCTCATTCCAATGAAAACGGGGATCCTCAGGAGCATGTGACACTTGGCCTTCCAAGGAGAGATGTTACATGCTAGACTATTGCTAGTAGCTTAGTTGCTTCATATTGTAAAATGTTATGTGCTAACTAATATCCTGTTATATCATGTCTGTGATACTTTAATGACTTTCTGATCATTCTTATGAGATAACACTGTTTTTAAACCAAGAATGAAGACTTGAGCTTGATTTTGCTCAGTTTGCACACTGGATCTTTTTGAATAAAAACCAGAGAAAGTAATGTCATTCCAAGCGTTGGCGGGATTTGAATGCCACATCTTCCACTGCATCACCTGGGAAAATTAATCTGGCCATTTCGTTTTGTTTGCCTGTACTTGGCTGGCATAAGATGTTTTCTGCCAAATTGGACTACAGCAAACTGTTTTTTTCCCATTAAATTTGTTGACAAAAATAATTTGCATGTCAAACCAGCAATCTGCTAGTAAGCTGGCATTTCAACTTGTAAACTGATGCTTTGTCTGGTTTAAAAATATACAAGAGCATGACGCGTATGTTCCTGTTGACAGAATTCCCATAACTTTACAGCATCAATTGAAATTATCTCTTTATTCATTGTCATTAGAAAGAATGCTTTTGTACTTGTTTTCAGCTAGATCTCTGTGACCTTTTACTTCTGTTTATGTTTACAAATGTTGATTTAATTTCATGCTTGTTAACACAGTGCTGATGCTTACGCAGGACGCTGAGGCCTGTGCCTTCTACATGAGGTCTAGCACGTGCAGGTTCGGTGTGCACTGCAAGTTCGACCACCCTCCTCTCCAGGAGGCTATTTCCAAGCTGCAGGCAACCGGAAAGGAAGGAATAGAAGGGCTGAGCATCGTTCTGCACGACCCTGATGTCTAATACTGTATCCTGCATCAGGATGTAATACCATGCGAATCGCACTGTTAGTTAATGCTTGATGCTGTCACCGGAAGTGTTTGTCAGAGCAGAGCTGGTACTAACGATTTACCTTTGGTTGGTTGCCGCAGATGACAATAGTGCGGTATATACCGTGTTGCATGTTGCAGGTTTCGAGAGTAAAAATGCACCGCTGGTTCTCAAACTTTCACTGGATGCTAACCTGGCCCCAAACTTAACTATGTCATGTGAGATTCTAGTTACCATAACTTTATTTAATCTGCATGCCATGATTATGTGATGATATGGCAGGGATGTGGAGCCTACATGATGGTAGGGATATAGGAGATATAATGGCATGTTTGCCTCGCATAGTCACATGTTGATGCAATGCGAACGTGCAATTAGCTTGTCTACAGATTAACTTAAGTTAGCATTATTTGTATATTAGTGAGTTTAGGCCTTTGGATATCTGGATATACATTTTGGACCTGGATGGCACCTTGAGCAAGTTTGAGAATCAAGGCCCTAATTTTGAGGCTGCCTCAATTTATGGGTGAAAGTCCTTTTGATCCTCCTTAACTTTTGTGATTGTCTGATTTCCAGACACAGGACTTAAACCTCTCGGGACGATTCATGGGCAATGCTTAGCCATCTAGAGAAGCCATTAGAGTAACAAATGCGAAACTGCCAGCTTGACAAAGAAACAAAGTGCTCAAAGGATGGATTTGAGTTTTAGAAAGTGCATCTAATCCTATCGTGAGTTTTGGTAAATTAATGATAATCAAATAAATAACTAATGATGTTTGTGAAGTATTTTAGTGACTCACGATTGTGACCCCTCGAATGCAACCCCTACAACACAAGAACACAACTAGAGTCTAGAGAGCAAATCAGCTAGGATCGGCCGATCCATCCGACTGGCTCACCTATAATCACACATCTCTCTCCCCTGCTTGATTGTAACCCTTTTCTTAACGCTTGGACAGGAAATCTCTCTGGACGTAGGGCGCGAACCCAAACCAGAATAAACCACTTGCCTCTTGAGTATCAGGCCACCGGAACCCATATAACGACATTCTAATTACTCATTGTGGTAATGAGCCCATGACAATTGGCGCGTCGGGTAAGGGAGCGTCATTTGTGTTTCCATAGTTTCGATGGTCCATGCCACAGATGGTGCTGGAGCTGTGCAGCATCCATTTTAGCAACAGTGCTCTCTGCCGGAGCGATGTTCTTCTCGGGCTAGAATCTCCGTTTCGGGAGCCTGGACTTCATCATGGATCGCTTCGGCGAGAACCGTCACTTTAGGGTGCGTTTGGTTCGAGGACGAAGTTGGATGGGATATGACGATCCATAGATATTGGGATAAGGATATCCATGATGCATGTTTGGTTGGATGGATATGACGATCCATTTTTCTGTTTGGTTGGATGGATGAAAGTGGATGAGATTAGAATAGTTGTCTAATTATATCTATTATTTAAAAATAATAACTACTAATTAGACACTAATAAATATGCACTAATACTAATTTTGCCATGAAAATAACTAATTTAACATAAATATGTTAATTAACACAACTAATAACCTAATTAACACACGAAACATGCACTAATCAATGTATTAGCACTTATCAAAACTAATCCTCCATCATAATTACTAAGTAATAATATAACATATTAATCATCCTAAATTTATTTACTAATAACAAAGATTAGAAGACATGGATAAGCTGGTTCGCTAGATTTTTACGAACCAGGAAATCTAGTATCTAAGGTATATTCCCTATCCATGGTTTTACTGGTCCCAGTGATTAATCCAACCAAACGCCAGTGATCCATGGATGGTCCAATCCCATCCATATAAATCCAACCAACTAAACACATCCTTAAGGCAGTGGACTTACATGGAACCTATCACGCGCTGCTCAGACAACCATGGTACGCTAAGTTCATTGTCGTACCAAACTATACCTACCTCAAGCTGAAAATGCCAGGCCTCAACGGAGTCATAACAATAGGCACCGGTGGGGAAAGTGTCGCGCACGCAGTGACGGTCATCACCTCGGTAGATCTGCCAACATTAGGCAGGAGGTTGCGGAAGGGTCTCTCGATGCAAAGAAAGCGGCACCCTCGAGCTCACCAAGGCGGTCGGTATCGACCTTGAGTGCCCAGAAATACGGTGTGGACTAGCTCCAACCTCCCTCCGAAATAGGAAAGCCTGTTTGTCGACTTCCTGCAGGCCAACTCTAACATCTTCGCGCGGAAGGGGCCAAATATCACAGGGATTCCGCCCTAGGAGGGGGGTCGCCAAACACTCCCTCAACTTGACTCCTGGTGCAAAGTAGTTAAGCTGCGTCTGCGCAAGTTCGATGAGGAGAGGCGTAACCGCATAGGACTATGGGGGAGGAGCTTGCTAAGCTTTTGGCGGACGGTTTCATAAAGGAGGTCCAACAACCTGACTAGCCTGTGAGACAGGGTGAAACCCGCTTCGCTACAATGTTAGCCAACTGTGCTATGGTGGGATGTCAATGTAGTTCGGTGGCACAACAGTTTGCTTTTACCACGCTAGCCAATTGGTTTGGGAAAAAATGTTAGCTTCTTAAAAGCTAGGAGAGTTATTATTTTAAAATATTGATTAAAAGGATAGTCGAGTAAGAGACCAACTAATTGTGATTAATATGATGACTTGATAACTCGCAAAACTAAAACAATCTAAGACAAAGAAAAAGAGAAAAACAAGAGTGCAATAGCACACAAATGTTGTTCGCTTTGTACGGATGTGGAACACTTCCTCCTTCCGTCCCAAAATGAGTCTTCATCTCATATTGAGTCAAACTATTCTCAACTTTGAGCTTTAGAGCAACTCCAATAGATTTTGTAAAATCAGATAGCTAAACCCATGATTTAGCCGACCTGTAAAATAGAAAGCACCTAAAAAAACAGAAAACCCCGACAGCCTTTTCATTATACAATTCTATATTTTTAAAAGAGCTACGCCATCTCTATTTTCATCTCCGCATTAGCACGCAGGCACCCAGCCGCCGCCTGGCCATCTGCGGCCTCCCACCGGCCACCAGCCAATCTCCACGCAGGGGAGGCTTGCGCTGGCCAGCTGTGGCCGGCTGCCAGCCACCAAAGGCAGCTAGCCGGAGTTTGTAAAGGCAAAGGCAAATCACCAGCGACACTTTTCCTTTCCTTCCGCGCGTGAGCGTAGAGCTACCTCCACTGTAGAGGAATCGCCACCGGCTCCAGTTCCATGGGCAAGGTCCGCTCCTTCTCCCGCAGCGGCAAGAACGTGGGCGCCGGTGCCCAGGCAGGCGCGTCCTCGCGTCTCTCCTCGTCCGGCCTCTGCGATGAGCGCGCCGCCCTCCCCCCATCCTCCGCGTCGGCCGAGCACGAGACGGAGCGTGTCTTCCGCAAGTTCGACTCCAGCGGCGACGGCCGGATCTCGTGGCCCGACCTTGCGGCGCTGTTTGAGAGCGTGGGCTACACGGCCAGCGGCCACCGATGACGAGGTGTCCCACATGATACAGGAGGCCGACGCCAATGCCGATGGCTACATCAGCCTGCCCGTGTTCGCCGCGCGCTCATGGAGTCGGCCGCCTTCGCCGACAGCTACATCAGCTTGCCCGAGTTCGTCGCTCTCATGGAGTAGGCCTGCGCCGATGCCAACGCCATCGAGGAGGACCAGTGCGGGAAGATAATCTCTGCCGCGCGTGAAGGATCGCGCGCGGTTGCTTTCTATAGCAAGCGAAAGTTCAGGGATAGCACACTTCCTTTTTAGAAAACCAGACAGCAGCTCAATTTTTGCTATAAAAATCTAAAAATAGCATAGACAACAAGGATATCACACATCTGTTGGAGTTGCTCTTATAAAAAATAGTATCAAAATTTGTATCTCCAAGTAGGTTTTACTATACAAATATATGATGTAACTAATCTAATAATGCTTATCTAATATTACAAATATTTGCATTTTTTAATTATATTTGGTTAAAGTTAAGATTGTTTCAATGTTTCACAAAATTAATCAACCAACTTTTACTTTAGTTGTGAGATCTTTAAATCAGTATTTTCAGATGCTCCCAAAATGGCCTGTGAAATCATTTATACCTACTAGCAAAAACGATACTGGTAATTCGGGTGCAACAAGGAAACATATGCTGCCTGTAAGGTTGAAATAGCTGCGATCCGGCACATCAAATGTGAACCCTCAGGCTTTATACGTTCCAACACTCTTACATGGCTCCAGACAATATGGGTACATGAAAAATACTGTGACAAACAATGCACGTTGGTGACTTGAATAGTTAGCATAGAGCTAACCGGGCGACATTAACTAAATTGTCTGTGGAAAACAGAGCCCAAAATCACTGAAACAAACACTGGCTGGAGCAGCCTTTTTTCTGCTTCTGTTGCCAAATATCCACCAAGATTATACACACATGGCAAATATAATAAAGCCTGACTCAGCTTTCATCTTGGGCATAACGCCATTCATATACACATTTCACCTCTTCATTGGAAACCTGCAAGTTTCAGTAGGGTTAATTACAATGACCAAGAGCAGCAATAGCTTTAAAACACGCAAAGCAAAAAAATAAAATAAAAAAAATGCAGGACTCAAATAATAGTATTAAACCATATCCTTGGAAATTATTCCAGAGACATATATACTCCAAACACCATAAACTCGAACTAATTAAGTGTAAATTCCAAGCAAATTCTGCAAATATTTGACTTTAAAATTTACAGTTCTCTTTGATTGTAGCAAGTAGCCAAAACAAAATGGAGGTAAACTATAATGTGGCTGCAATAAGTTTAGCCACAGTTCAACTGATATGAAACTAGGTTCAGCCAATTAAGACAAACAATAGGTCAGACAAAATTGGCATTTCAATTCTCAGGTGCTGATATTGGACATCAACTGGATGAATAATTGGATACACCTTCACCTTGAAGCATATGCCCCTTTCAAAATCTGAAAATTGAAAAGTCCATCTAGACAGAAAACTGTCATGATGATTGCATATGCTTCCAGCAAACCATCTAAAAAGAATGAGTTTGCTTGAATAGCTGTAAGCAGTGCTCCAATTAGCACATTTGATCTGCTGAACTTCTTTCACAGGCGAGTATCTACCAGCAGATGTAAATTACTACCTGTCTCTATTTTTTTGCATGGTACACTTTGTTGCGTTAGGACAAGAATTTGAAGAGCAATTACTAAATTAATATTTTATCAATGAGATAAAAAATTACAATCATAAGCAAGTATTTTTTTTAATACATGAATCTAATGACATCAACTGTGTCAAAAAAATGTGTTAATGGAGTAATCAGTAGTCCCATGAAATAAGCTTGTAATTTCAAACAGAGGGAGGGGAGTACATTATTTCATCATGCAATGTTCCAGTGACAGAATATTTCTATCGTCCTAATGCATTAGGATATCTTAGGAGCTAAAACTGAGCCTAAACAGTCAAAAAAAAATGAAGGAATAAAACAGTGTAGAATAATTTAAAAGCTACTCCCTCTATTACAAATTATAAGATGTTTTGGCTTTTCTAGATACCTACTCCACATTGCTTTTGCTATATATTTAGACATAGTGTATATCTAAGTGCATAGCAAAAGCTATGTATCTAGAAAAGCCAAAACATCTTATAATCTGGAATTGAGGTAGTATAATATATGCACACTTCTACATTGGATCATTAACAAATATATGTACTGCTGACAACCGTACAACCGGTTGGACACAGCATTATCAGATTTAGCTAACAGATACTAGTGAATAAGTCCCATGAAAGGAACATCAAATACACATTAAGATGTACAAATGGATCAAACATTAACCTGATCACAATGCCATTTCAGCTTGCAGTGCAGCAAGCTCATCATCTTCAGCTGTAGTTTTCTGTGGAGCAGGGCGAGCTGGTTGCTTGTTGGCTGGAACATGCACTGGATGCACCGGAGGAGCTGCAACAGGCTCCAGAAGCTGAGATTCCAACTCTGCTCCCTCCAGTTCTTCAAGTTCCGCTTCCAGTTCATCCTGTAAGTTTTTTCAGTGCAATGGGTGCTAAGTGTGTCAGAGAAAACTATGCACTGCAAGGTTGCAAATCTTAAATGCCCACAGTGAATTACCTCGTCGAAATCAGCAGAAGCTCCAAGAGGAGCTGACAAAGCATCTTGAATTTGTTTCATATTTTCAGTCTGTTCGTTAATTTCATCCATGGTCTTGTCGACATCATCAATGTTTCTGCAGGGGCATGGTAAATAATCATTTTGAGACCTTGAACGACTAGGTGCATAAATCCTAAAATGGACTCAATATTAATACTAACGTTGCTTTTTGCATTGCTTTCATAGCTGCAGCTCCAGTTCTCAATGCATCAACCGTCTCTGTTGTAGCTTTAGCTGCTTCTAACATGATCATCTGTATACAAAATAGGTTATACAGTTAACACACAGCGTACAGTAAACCCAAAAGCTCAATGTTTGAGTGCGAATATACCTGATCATGGATTCTCAACTGAAAATTTCCGAGCTGCTCAATTTGTTGCTCATAAAGTTTTTTCCTCTTCAAGGATTGGATAGCCGCTGTTAAGAGGAAGTTTATTTGTATTAGCACAAGTTTCTATAAATCCAGTTTCCATTGCATAGGAAAGGAAGTTGGTAGCATTTAAAGATGGTCAACATTAGTTTACATGGAAGCCAAAAAAGAGGGAAAATAAAGCGAACATAAGCTGTATTAGCTAAATAACGTTATGATCATGAGGCCTTCAAGTCAAAGATGTTGAAAATTGCTCTACAAATAATGTTGCATGGAGTTTGCATTCTATGTGGATCTATTACATTGCAGGTGCATACAAACCTAAACTTGTTTTGATAAAATACTATATCAACATGGTGAAACAATACTAACAAGGAACAATGATAAGCACAATAACTGTGTCAAAAGAAATACCCACATATTTGTTGATCCACTGCACCATGCACCGATGAAATTTATATACACAAAAACGATGGATAAGCTAAATTTGTTTCGGTAAAATACTATGTCAATATGGTGACACAACACTAATAATGATAAGCACAGTAACTGTGTCAAAATAATACGTGCACCAAAGAAATTTATATGCACAAATACACAAAATATGATGGATACGCTTGGAGTGCAGCATGTGCACCGAGGAGATTCAGATTACTTAACAAAAGCATGTAGTCTCCAATCATACTGCCAGAGCACAAGTATACATTTCAAATTGCACTATTGTGGTTTACGATACCTCTTTTATTCTTAGCTTTTGAGAACTCCTTGGCTCTCTCAAGCTCAGCGGCTGCTTTTTTCTCCAGCACCTTTTCTTTCTTCTCCAGCATATCAAGTGTCTGAATATAAACAAAGCAAGCTTTTAGAACTTTCTAATTTACTGTGGCATAGGCATTACATGTGCCAAATTGTCAGCTATAACAAGAGCATAGTCCATTAGTTGGTTAAACATATATAAAGAGTTAACGATCCCTTCCTAATAAGCAAAACATTAGAACTTCAGGAGCAAATAAAGCAAATCAAAGAATGATCAGCCTATAAAGGTATTGATCATAAATAGATGGAGCTTGCAAATGCCATGGGAAGAAATTAAGCATCCCATAAGTTGAGATGAAGTTAACAAAATGTGAGAGTTCCAATACACTAAAGTAGAACTTGTTCCAAAAAAAAAAAAGACACTAAAGTAGAAGGGTGGGAATTTTTGTCATGCATGCGTGATCAGGCAACAAGTGATGTCATATTTTGGTTAAACCTTAACAGTTCAATTCAAAATGAAGGATACTCTGAGGTCGCAATTATATTTAGGCAGCCAAAATAAGAGAACATCAAACGTGCCCAAAAAAACACCTTAATAGAAGTGAGACAAGGTAATCATACGCCAGGAAATAAATAAAGAAGACAGAAAGGTCACCTCATTTAACTTGTCGAGAGTGGCCAAGGCATTGGAGTTGGCCTGCTCCTTGGGCTTCCCGAAGATCCTATTGAACATGGACATGGCTACACTGGCAACAGAAACTCAAAACGCCTGCGAGGCAAAACAACAGCTGGAACAACGTCATTTCACAAGCTAATTCGAGAGGAACTCATCAAGTAGCATTTGCAAGCACTACCCAAAAATAACTGAAAGTGGAAAAGGAAAGTTTGTCCACGGTGGAGCCCCCACCTATGCGCAGCGGGTGCCTGATCCGAGCAGAGACCGCCGACTAATCGACTGCGATGACCTAAGGCAGAGGAACGGCGGATCGCAATCGACCCTCTCCCTAATCGCGGGGCGCACCGATCTGGGATCAGTGTATCTAGCAGAAGCGAGGAGGCTTACCGGATTCGTCGCCGGCGGCGGAGGCGGCTAGCGTTATTGGAGAGAGAGGAGGGGAGGAATCTCGTTGGAAGGCGCGGCTTTGGGTAGGAGGCAACAGCCGAGCGAGGGGATCGGGTGGGGGAGTTGGGATCGATTGGGGAGA